TGTAGATGACGCTTTTAGCTTGTTTGTAGAGAAAAGTCCCAATAACAGAATGCTGGGTCATCGTGAAGTTGTTAGTGGGAAGCCAGGTATATACATATGGATGACTTATCAAGAAGCTTATGACATTGTGCTATACATTGGCAATTTCATTCGCAGCTGTGAAGTTGAGGAGGGAGGACGATGTGGAATATTTTGGGCTGATTCTCCTAAGTGGGTTTTAAGTATGGAGGCTTGTAATGCTCATGGATTATATTGTGTTCCTTTGTATGACACGTTGGGTGCTGGAGCAATTGAATACATCACATGTGCAGCGATTTCTATCTTACATATTGTAGACTGTGATGTCTGGAGTTTAGATAAATATGGTTCCAGCCACAAACTTCCATTGGCTTGCTCTCCCCGTGTGATTATTTTCATCTTGAAAATCATTTCTGATATAATGGATCCTGCACATTACATTGTTGTTATGGGTGACCATCAGTGGCAAAACCAGGATCTCGTTGCCGGGAGGGTCCAATTTGCCTTTAAAAATTTCACGACAAAACCAAACACAAACACAAAAATAAATGCAAACTATTTAAATTATCGTTCAAATAACATTATACAAAATAAAAATATAATCTAGCTTCCAACCAAGGGGGAACTAATAAGATCGACACGCGGTAACTGAAATCTTCGGGACGCCATGTTCTGAAATCTCTACAAAATGACTTCATTTTCAATTTTGATAAAGATTTCCTTTTCAATGTAGCACACCAAGCTATCCGTCAAAAAATCCTCACCCATTTTGTTGCGCAAATCATTCTTGATAATCTTCATCGAGGAGAAAGCTCTTTCAACAGTAGCAGTTGCGACGGGCAAAACTAGTGCCAACTCAATAAGCCGATAAACTAACTTAAGAGCAGTGTGCCACTTTCTCTCAATCATTCTTTTTGCAAGGTCTCCAATACTTTGAAGATCAGAGAAAAATGCACGCTCATATATTGTGACTATCGAGATGTAGTGTTTCAATTCTTCTTTCAGTTTGAACTCATCATCAAAATCATTTGGATATAATTGAGCGAGACGAAGCAGTCTTTCATGATCAAAGCTAGCAAAAGAATCTCTAGGATCAAGACAGACTATGCATGAAATAAGTTCCGTACTCAACTCTCCAAAACGATTAGTGATCTCTTGTAAGATAAGATCAACAACCTACAAAATTGAGAAAAATAAGCTAATTATTAACACTATAATAAACAAAAAAATGTTAATATGAAATTAAAGAAAAATAGTTACCGGAAGAAAAATGTCTCGTCGAAAAAAATGCAAATAAGTCTTTGGTTGGTCATCCACTTTTCTTTTAGATCTAGGCCGACCCGGTAAATGATCTTCCATATTAGGCACCAAAATGCCTTTTTGAGAACAAAATTCCTTGACGCTTTCAAGAAATTCCTCCCAACCATCCTCCCTAAACTTCCCTAAATCTTCCTTCAACGTTCTAATCAAAACGAAGGCTTTACCAATATTTTGACTTTTTTCTTGTAAGGTCGCCGAAAGTACGCTTGTTTTTGCCAATATTGTCACCAACAAATAAGCAATGAACACAAATTCAGAAGTTGTTGATTTAGCAATCAAACCTCTAGCAATGCCTCGACTTTGGAAATCGGTGGCTTCACTCTCAATAGTATCAAGAACGTCTTGTACCGCATCCCACATTTCCAACATCCGCTTGATTTTCCTATAGTGAGATCCCCAATGCGTAGCACCCGGTCGAGCTAAACTTGTTTCTTGATTCAAGCCAGTCCCCGTAGAAATCTCACCACTTTGAATACGTTGTACAAGGTCATCGTAATGCTTTTGTCGAATAGCATCCATTCTTTTACATGAAGCTCCAACAAGATTCACAATCCTTACAAGATAATCCATAAAATCACTCACACACGTGTTCTCTTTTGAAGTTGCTACAACCACTAATTGAAGTTGGTGAGCAAAACAATGAACATAGTATGCGTGTTTATGTTCTTGTAAAATAAGAGTTTTAAGACCATTGAATTCACCTCGCATGTTGGAAGCTCCATCGTAACCTTGACCTCGAAGCCTAGAAAGTGACAATCCATTTCTTGCAAAAAATTCATCAATTGCACCTTTTAAAGAGTGCGCCGAGGTGTCACTAACGTGGACCACTCCCAAAAATCGCTCGATCACTTCTCCCCGATCATTCACGAATCTCACGACGACGGCCATTTGCTCCCTTATTGAACTATCCCGAGCTTCATTGATTAAAATAGAAAAGAACTTGTCTCCAATTTCATTAATAATGACTTTCCTCACCTCTGTAGCACAAGCATTGATGATTTCTTTCTGAATTTTTGAAGAAGTCAACTGATTATTCCCGGGAGCATTCAAGTTCATGACCTTCTTCACTTCTTCCTTCTCCTCACAATACCAATCCAAAATTTCAAGAAAATTACCTTTTCGTATTGAACCTTTTGACTCATCATGTCCACGAAATGGCAAACCTCCCCCTAAAAGCAATCGAACAACTTTCACAACCGCTGTTAGCCGAACGCGGTAGTCAATCTCCATTTGAGTGCCCTTTTGTGATAACACATAATCTACATTATGCCTTTGGTCTCTAAATGACGAACACTGAACCATAGCATTACGATGTGGACTGTTTAAACCCCCTTTATGCTCCTTGAATTTATTTAAAGCATTCTTCCAATTTTTAAAACCAACACCAGTAAAAGCATCATCTCCACAACGAGTATTAATCCTTTTAAACAAATAACATACTTTACAAAAAGCGGCATCCTTCTGAATACTATATTCGAGCCAATCATATTGCGTAAACCATGCCTTTTGAAATGATCTCATATTCTTACCAAAACTAGATCTCGGAAAATTGTGATCATGTGGTTGAAAGGGACCTTTTGCCAAGTAGTGTCTCCTCAATTCATCTCTAATAGCAAAAGGATAATCATCAATAGGTTTTCGCAATCCCGGATCACCAACAATGTCATCTTCCGTCAATTCCACTTCTACTCGTTGTCTTTTGCCACTATCATTCAAATCCACATTACTTGATGAAGATGAAACCGACTTCTTCCATTTGGATACAAACTTATCCATTGTAAAAATTTAAATACCTAAAAATAGTAAAACAAATCAATAATTAAAAATATTACAACTAGTCAACTACAGTTTACTTTATATAGAATAACAATTCAAAATAAAAACTAAAGTGACTAATTACTATCAAGCTCAATAAAAAAAATTACTATTATACAATCATTAAACATATTACATATTAAACTACCATTCTACCAAAATTTTAAGTTACAACAAAATATAACATTAGTACTAAACGAAAAGCCTGCCACTGGAAGCATACTAATACGGAGTTTAGTGGAAAAATAGGACATAACAAAACACCAACATAACAAAATTAAAATTCAATGCAATGAGTGAAATAAAAGAAAAATTATTTTGTTGACTTAAAATTTAAAACTTGAAATTTTTAGTTTTGTTTTTATCTCCATACTAATTTACTAACGTTAACGTACCTTACCCAGGACCAGGAGCAACAGAGTAAAATTAACAACTTTAAGGCCGATTTGAAAAGCGGACGAATTGTATGGGTGGGATTAAAACTGTTGATTTTGAAATTGAAGGACTCTTTTTTCCCAAAAAAAATTGGGGATCTTGCTGAAATTGAAGGACTCTTTTTTCCCAAAAAAAATTGGGGATCTTGCTTGTCTTCAGTTCAAGAAGGTGAGATATGCTCTTTTTCTTTTTTTATTTCCCTGTCTGCGCGTGTTAGGAATTGATTTTTTTTAATTTTTTTTTTGTCCTTTTAACCAAAACGACGTCGTTTTGGTTTAAAATTTTTTAATTAAATAAGATCTTAAAACGACGTCGTTTTAAAGTGTACTTAAAAAAAAAATCCTTACCTGATACCTGTTATCTTCTTCCTCTTCCTCCGCGTACAGTTACAATCTCTGTGTTTTCGCGTACAGCTACCCCCACTTCTAGTTCGAATTTTTTTTTTTTTTTGGAGGGGCCGGCGCCTCTCCGAGCCCCAATGTAGTTTCGCCCCTGCTCGAGCTCGACTCGAGTTCGGCTCGAAAAATTGTAAGTAGAATGGTAAAATTACCAATAAGGACTTATGTTAACATATATATAAAGGGTATTTTAGTAATTTAACATGTATTCGAGCTGCTCGACGAGTCGCTCGACAAGACAAAATATGGGCTCGAGCTCGACTCGAGTTCGGTCAAACTCGAGCTTGAATCGAGCTTTGACTCGAGCGCTCGCGAGCAGTTCGCGAGCCGCTCGGCTCGTTTGCAGCCCTACTTCCGGCTCTGCTAGAGAGAGCAGACAGAAATCCATTACTAGTCAAGGAAAAAAAAAACGAGAAATCCATTTGTATATCGATGAACATGCTTCGTAATCAGTGATTTAGCATACCCATTGGCTGTCGTCGATGTTGAACTCGTAGAAGGTGACATGAGCGGCGGTGATGAGAATTTCCTCGACGAAAGGATCCAATCGCTGAAGGACTGTCAAATTAAGCACCTTAGTCGTCTTCTCGTCGAGATTGGGCATCAATCTCCTGCTCTGCGACATCGTTTCACACACTTCCGCTTCGATCACTCTCTGCAAAGCACAACTGCCTCTGGGGATAAACGTAAGCAGTAGAAAAGTGGAAATTGACAGCACGCACCACCGCCTCCGGATTTTTGCACACACACACACACACACGTATATGTGTGTGTCTAATACTCAAGAGAAATGTGGGAATTTAGGTGTATTGCTCACTATGCTCATGCAATTAGGCAATTATTATTTATATACACCCGCACATTACAATAGACACAAATATGAACGCATGTTAGTCATAGACTGATTGATAAAACTAGCTGATAGTTATCTTGAGTTTTATGTACCTTTTGGTACAACCTCTAATAAGGAGACTTCCAATTTCGTAGCTGTGGAGTCAAAAAGGGCTGCTGCCCACTCCTTTTGATAGCTGCAAAAGAAAGAAAAACGCAGCACAATTTTGTGGAAAAAAATGCAGAGATATGTACACCTTTGTGGAAAATTAGATGCATATTTCCTCTATAAATAGAAGAGCAAACTTCAGAAGAAACCACAACAAAAATACAACAACATTTCAAGAGAAAAGAAAGAGAGAGAGAGAGAGCTAAAAATAATTAGCCTTTGTGTGTATTTTTGAGTTGTGAGTTGTGAGTGGTTTCAAGAGTGTTTTGTAAGCACGAGTGTATTTCTTTTTCTCAATAAAATATCTGCAGTAGTCCGGAGACGTAGGCATTATTGGCCGAACTCCGTTATCAATTTGGTGTGTCCAATTTTTCGTTTTTATTTCACTTTTATAGATCCGACTTCATGGAAATTTCAGCGTATTTTTCCCAACAACTGGTACCATAGCCAGATTGTTAATTATGTATTTTTTTGTGTCGGTTACTATTCCGTGAATAGTGAAAAACGGAAATAGTGTCAAATTTTTCGGCGCTACAAATTTATCTACCGACGTGTTCTTAAACACGGTAGTTCACAAAAAATTTACAGAAACGATCCGGCAGAGAAGTCAGATCAGAGTCGAAGTGATGGCTGCAGACGAAGGAAAAATGAAAATTGAAAAGTTCGATGGTGCGGACTTTGGCTTCTGGAAGATGCAGATCGAGGATTATCTGTACCAGAAGAATATGTATCAACCACTCACGGGAAAGAAGCCAGAGGACATGAAGGAGGAAGAATGGAGTCTTCTTGACAGACAAGCCCTTGGAGCCATTCGGCTGACGTTATCCCGTAATGTTGCTTTTAACATTGCAAGAGAAAAGACGACATCAGGCTTCATGAAGGTTCTTTCCAACATGTACGAGAAACCATCAGCCTCAAATAAAGTTCATTTGATGAGGTGATTGTTCAACCTGCGGATGACCGAAAGTGCTCCGGTGGCGCATCATCTCAATGAGCTCAACACCGTTACAACCCAGTTGAGTTCAGTTGGGATCGAGTTCGATGATGAAGTACGGGCTTTAATACTTTTGTCTTCCCTACCAGAAAGCTGGAATGCTACAGTCACAGCTGTGAGTAGCTCATCGGGAAGCAATAAGTTGAGATTTGATGATGTCCAAAATTTGGTTCTTAGTGAAGAGATCCGGCGGAGGGAGTCGGGTGAACCATCAACCTCTTCTGTATTGCATACAGAGTCAAGAGGAAGAAGTTCAACCAAAGAAAGCAGACACGACAAATCAAAGGGAAGAAGATCCAGGTCCAGAAATCATCGTAGTTCCCAAAACTCAAAGTCGATCGAGTGCTGGAATTGTGGAAAGACCGGGCACTACAGAAATCAGTGCAAGAGTGCACCGAAGGGTCAGGAGGCAAAAGAAGAGGCAAATATTGCTTCAACCTCTGGAGGAGATTCGCTGATATGTTCTTTGGAGAACAGAGAAGAGTCTTGGGTGTTAGACTCTGGAGCATCCTTTCATGCTACCTCACAGAAGAAACTATTCGAGAATTATGTTCCTGGAAATCTTGGTAAAGTTTACCTTGGTAATGAGCAATCATGTGAGGTTGTCGGCAAAGGTGCAGTAAAAATCAAGTTGAACGGGTCTGTTTGGGAATTGGAAAATGTCAGACATATTCCCGACCTGACGAAGAATTTAATCTCCGTAGGCCAGCTAGCCAGTGAAGGCTACACAACAATCTTCCATGGTGATGATTGGAAAATTTCAAAGGGTGCGATGACAATTGCTCGAGGCAAAAAGAGTGGTACTCTTTACAAGACCAAAGGAGCACGTCATCTTATTGCAGTTGCAACAAATGAAAGTCTCAATCTATGGCACCAAAGACTTGGGCATATGAGTGAAAAAGGGATGAAGATCATTCACTTCAAAGGAAAATTACCAGGCCTTCAGTCAATAGAAATTGACATGTATGAAGGTTGTATACTTGGAAAGCAGAAGAGAGTCAGCTTTCAGACAAGTAGAAAAACCCCAAATAAGGAGAAGCTTGAGCTCGTCCACTCCGATATTTGGGGTCCAACCACTGTCCCATCCGTTGGTGGGAAGCAATACTTCGTGACTTTTATCGATGATCACTCCAGAAAGGTATGGGTTTACTTTCTGAAACACAAGTCAGAAGTATTTGAAGCTTTCAAGATTTGGAAAGCTATGGTGGAGAATGAGACAGGCTTGAAGATCAAGAAGCTCAGATCCGACAATGGTGGTGAATACGTAACCACCAGATCCGACACGCACGGGATCAGAATGGAGAGAACCGTGCCTGGTACGCCTCAACACAATGGCGTAGCTGAGCGTATGAATCGAACATTGACTGAAAGAGCCAGAAGCTTGCGTGTGCAGTCAGGCCTACCAAAGCAGTTCTGGGCAGAAGCAGTCAACACAACTACTTACTTGATCAACCGAAGTCCATCGGTACCATTGGACCACAAGTTACCAGGAGAGGTATGGAGCGGAAAAGAAGTAAAACTCTCACATCTTAGAGTTTTCGGGTGTGTAGCATATGTGCACATCAGTGATCAAGGTAGAAACAAACTTGATCCAAAATCAAAGAAATGTTACTTTCCTTGGTTATGGTGAAGATGAGTTTGGCTACCGTTTATGGGATGATGAAACCAAAAAGATGATCCGCAACAGAGATGTCATCTTTAATGAAAAAGTGATGTACAAGGACCGGCATAACACAAGTGCCAGCAACTCAGAAGCGAGTGGGCCAGTTTATGCAGAGGTGGAAGATATCCCAGACATTCCTGTAATAAGGAATCCTCGGTCAGAGGAATCAAATGAAGAAAGCGGTGAGCAATCAGAACCTTATACTCCAACTCCTGTATTGAGAAGGTCCTCTAGGCCCCATGTACCTAACAGGAGATACATGGACTACATGTTGTTGACCGATTGAGGAGAACCTGAAGATGATAAGGAGGCTTGTCAAACCCCAGATGCTAGCAAGTGAGAGCTTTCCATGAAGGACGAGATGAAGTCCTTGACCTCAAATCAGACTTGGGAACTAGTCAAATTACCCATGAGAAAGAAAGCACTTCACAACAAATGGGTGTATCGAGTGAAGGAAGACCATGATGGTTCCAGGAGATACAAAGCCCGACTGGTTGTCAAAGGATTTCAGCAGAAAGAAGGAGTTGACTATACTGAAATCTTTGCTCCAGTTGTAAAGCTCAATACTATCAGGACTGTGTTAAGTATTGTGGCTAGTGAAGAGCTCTACTTAGAGCAATTAGACGTGAAGACTGCATTTCTTCATGGAGACCTAGATGAGGAGATCTATATGCACCAGCCTGAAGGTTTTTCAGACGGAAAGAAGGATATGGTGTGCAGATTGAAGAAGAGCTTGTACGGCCTGAAACAAGCTAAAAGACAGTGGTATAGGAAGTTTGAGAGCTTCATGCACCAGGAAGGTTTCCAGAAGTGCAATGCTGATCGCTGTTGTTTCTTCAAGAAATATGAGTCCAGCTATATCATATTGCTACTTTATGTCGATGACATGTTAGTAGCAGGATCAAATATGATAGACATCAGAAATTTAAAGATGCAGTTGTCAAAAGAATTTGACATGAAGGGCTTAGGCCCAACAAAGAAGATTCTTGGAATGCAAATCACGAGAGATAAGCAAAAGGGAGTTTTGCAGTTATCTCAGGCAGAGTACATCAACCGTGTTTTGCAGAGATTTAACATGGACAAGACCAAACCAGTCAGTACACCTTTGGCCAGCCATTTTCGTTTATCCAAGGATCAGTCTCCTCAAACAAAAGAAGAAGAAGAGTTCATGGCTAAGATTCCTTATGCTTCAGCCATTGAAAGTTTGATGTACGCGATGGTCTGTACGAGGCCAGACATTGGCCATGCAGTGGGAGTTGTGAGCAGGTTTATGTCAAAACCAGGAAAAGCTCACTGGGAAGCAGTCAAATGGATTTTGAGATATCTACGAGGCACAATAGAAAAATGTTTGTACTTTAGAAAAAGAGATCTAAAGCTACAGGGCTACGTAGATGCAGACTTTGGAGGTAAAGTTGATCACCGAAGAAGCACCACCGGTTATGTTTTCACTGTCGGGGCTACAGCTGTTAGTTTGATGTCGCGGATACAAAAGATTGTTGCTCTATCCACTACAGAGGCTGAGTATGTAGCAGTGACAGAAGCCAGTAAAGAATTGATATGGCTTCAAGGATTGTTAGCAGAGTTGGGTTTCACTCAAAAAGAGAGTGTCTTGCACAGTGACAGTCAGAGTGTAATACATCTGG